TTTTTCCTTTGCCATTGGCGATTCGAGTATGAAATATCTACCTTTTTCATCTTCTTCTGGTAGAATTATGAATGCCAAAGGATTATTTCCAGTGTCAAACTTAGATGTTGAGGAGTTAGCTGCCGTTGTTGGAGCTAAGAGTTTTTGCAGAGAAAGGGTTATTTATGTAGAGTTGAGTGAAAAACGAAGAAGATAAGGGGAAATGTTGAATTGGGTAGTTATAGAGCTTTGTTAATTGTCAGAATCGAATACTTGACATACACGTGGAGACATAGAACGTTTCATGTTGCAAGGACTAATGACATTGATGTGAGTGGAACAATTATTGAAGATGTGCAAATGCATGTTCTTCTATAAAATAGGAGCAATGAAGGGATTCTAAGAGGATCTTTTGGAAAATGACAATGCAGTAAAGTGGTAATGATGATGATGACATTAGCAGAAAAAGTGAAGCAGTGACAAAAATACATAAAAAATGCCATATTTCTCTCTGTTCAAAATCGAAACATGGCATTTTGGCAGGCAATTTATTATCTCATATTTTTGACACACATTAATTCCAGAGTTGAAACAAGGATAATACAAGAGTTTTGTGAAAAGTCGAATTAGTTTATTATAACCATGGTGGTTGTTGTGGATTTGACCTATCAAAGGATGAGGTTAATTCTAATCGAATGTTACAGTGAGTAAGAAACAAAAGAGGTTTGTCGAGTTTGGGACTTAGTGAAATTCAAAGTCCTCATTGTTTCTCTACACAGTCGAATAAGGTGTGATTTGATAAGACCAGGTAATTATTCAAGGACACATGAGGGTGTATCGAAGGTGAAGGTTGCATGGAGGCGAAAAGGTAGCGTGTTTGGCTTAGTCGGCCGTTGTAGACGATTATTCTAGAGTAGTATATAATTAGATGTTTGTTTATGTTTTAGGGGTCCGCAATTGTACACTATTCTACAAACTCAAAGTATCTATGTAATTGAGAAAAGAATCAAGAATGTACATATGCGTTCCACTTTTTACAAATGAAAGTCTTTATATTCAAATTATTTTCCGCAGTTAAATTATTTTCTCTTCATTTTGTCCTTTGTATTTCAATTTCAGTCTACATTCTAGTTATTAATTCTCAAACTTTTGCATTTCGATTCATATGCCAAACTTATTTGAAATTCATGATTCACACAAATATGTCACAGGATCTTTTCAAGTTTAATCCTTTAAGTATTACTTGAAACTTGTTTTGTTTACTAAATTTCATAGTAATCACATAGTGTAATTGGGTGTAGTGTATTGATGTTACAAATTCTCACAGGAAAAGAAGTTGTTATTTTTTATTGTGTCTGGGTTTGTTGATGCTGATGGTTGAGTTGAAAAAAATAGATTTTGAAAATGGCATGAATTTCTGGAAATTAGTATGAATGTTGCAAGAGTGGGGTGGATTTCTCAACAACGGTACGAATGTTTCAAGAAACTTAGGTTTGGATGAATACGTTACCACGTCAACGTCAGGTGTATGTCAAATGGCCTTTTATTTTGACTTTGACTAACAAATCTAACGGAAAGAACTAACGTGACGCTGTTTGAAGACATAAGAGATCCAATCAACATTTTTAAAAGTTAATAGATTAAATGGTTCCTGAGATAAAGATAAAGGAACAAAGAGGGTATTTAGTTGAGAATTTTTATGAAAAATCTTAATCACATAAAAAAAACAACTAGTCAAAAACATTTAGTGTAAATGTAATAGGAGATCATGTGGGGGTAGCCCACCTGGTGGACGAACATATAGTTGTAAAGAATCAAGTCATTGTTAAAAGTATAATTCTGTGTGTCGAAATATCTATGCGCCAAATTGTATTAGTGCGTCGAAGTGTGAAACCGATTGTTTCACACAGAATTTCGACTTAGGCATATTTTAGTAATGTTAGGTAGTTTGGGCTTTTATAGTTTTAGAAACATAGAGAAATTCTGCAGAATATTCATTCATTCTTCTTCTCCAATGTTATTTTCTTTCTTTCTTCCTCAACTTTTTTTTTCATTGTCATTATGTGATTGATAACAATCTTGAGATTAAAATTGAGCAAAATTCTCCATAGGTTGCAGTTGAATTCCAACGGTCATGTTTATTGTTGTACTCAACCCATGTAAAAATATGTTCATAAGGTTGACTCTAAACTTAAAGAATCATGTCATTCTGAATACGTGAATTAATCAAGAAGCAAAAATGAAATATGACAATATTTTTTACTTTGTATGTGTTTTTAACTATCCATATAATAGAAAACATGTTCAACAAATTGATTTAACTTATGTTTTCGAGTCCTTTAGACTAGAAGCAAGGAGGGGTATAACTCTAGTTGGTGAGGTAAGAATTAAAATTTCTTTGAGTTAAGAGGTTCTCTCTCTTTCTTTCTTTTCTTTTTTTTTTCTTTTTAAATTCGACCAAGCCTTCTGCTAAAACAAATCACAAAACATATTTCTTTGGAATGATTTTTAAAGGATATTTCTTACAAGTTTTTTTTTTCTTTCTTTTAAATACCAAAACATTATATATATAAACTACTTTTACATATTATGAGAACTTATGAGATAATATCACTAGCTCTCAATAAGAGTTTATGCAAAATAATCTTCCACCGACCGGGTATTTTCATTAAACTTAATATATTTATGTAAAAATAAAACACTTGAAGATCTAATTAAAGCAAAACTCTAAGTTGATAAATTAAAAATATGAAAGGCGATGCTATAACAAAGTTGGTTTGTTCTACCAAACTTTCTCTACAATTTTCCTTCAACTTCTTATTTTAACATCAAATCAAACATTTGTTTGACAAAAGAAGGTATATAAGATGTAGACAATCGAGGTGGCAATAGCTACATGACATACAAATTGCAAAGACACCAACAAAAGTAAGAAACAAAAAAGTGGAAAGGGAAGAAAGAAAAAAACAAGAATAAAGTTGCTCCATGTCTGAATATTAATTTTTACAGCAATAAAGTTGCTGAAATAAGGGAACTGATTTTCAATTTAAAGACATAGGTTGAGAACTATGTCTGCCACCTATAGTTGAAATGGTGGTTAGCACATTACAAGTGAACTTGTCTCCATACCTCATCCCATTAACCTATTTTCTTATGTTTCAAATGTTTTCTACCTAACATTCATTTTCCTCCATTCTCTGCTTTTCTTTTTCATTTCATGTCATTTTCCAATTCTCAAGTTCATTTTAGATGAGACTAACTTTTTCTTCGTTAGTAAAATATAAACATATAATTGCATTTTCCTACTAGTCTTTTATAATTGCACTTAATATCAGAACTGATCTTTAAACAGGATTAACCGATCCGGTGAATCAGATAAAAAACGAATACTTCTCTATTATTTGATAAGAATATTTCCAAAACATGGGCCTAATTATTCGATTGGGCCAGCACCACCCATTCCCACATCTAGGGTTTTAATAAAAACAGAATTGAATAATGAACATTCTTTGAAGAATAAGTGCGCTCCCACCACCATCCCATTACCTTGTTCCTAAACCAATTAGATTAATTAATTTGTCTCCCCATTTGACATTAATAATCTATAATCCATGTAAAATCAAATCAATCATTTTATACTACTTAATTATGGCCATGACTCCAGCAAGATAAGCTGTTTTGAAACAACTCTATCACTTCCGCATATGCTAATCCCACACTCAATTTACAAATGCCATGTTTAATTCCCCTACTTACTTTTTCGTTTTTTTTCTCACTTCTTTCTTGGCTAGTCACTAAATAAATATCATGTCTGGTTCCTTTTGTCTATAGAAAAGCACAATCATAATTAATGTTAGATTAAAGCAATACCTGAAAAAGCTAGCTGTCTCTATAATTCTATAGGGTCATTTATTTACATAGACAAATTTTTTCCCACCACAATATTCTATTTACTGAATGATTAATTCAGTTTGATTAATTCAATTCTAACATCAAATAATTTTAACTCCATTCCAATCACAATTGTGCGAGAATGAACTATAATTTTTGTCAAATTCAACACCAATCACTACATAACTATAAAAAATCATGTATTTATTTTCTGAGTAAAGAACATATCTGATTTTATTCTTTGAAATAAAAGTTAGTTAAACCTGATTAGTTTAGGGAGTTTTAAAATACCATTGACATTCTTGACATGAATATTAGCCCATGACACTTTTTAGGAACTTGTTAGGTCATCCAAAAAAATGCCTGGATGAAGGTTAGGCATATACTTAAATTGAAAACTTGTGATGTGTGTTTATAAGAGAAAAAAAGAAAATACATTGAGAGTGTAAAATATTGATAGGTGGCATATGTAAAATTATCTAAAATATTAATTGGTCTTCAAAATACCTACAAGCACTTCTCATAATACAAGTAGCATCAAAAATTGTGGAACTCCTGAACTGCTTTTATTAATAATAGTTTTTATTCCTAAAAGCTACAATCAAATTATTTTGAATCAGATGGATCATCACATGTAAACTTTTCCTAGTCCTTATTTGTTTGTTTTTCAAGCAAATGAAAAGGTATCCTTGTTTTGTTTCTTAAGACAGATTTATCATTACAATTTACTTAAATCTCATAATTTGAATTAAGATTGTGTTGGAACACATTTCAATAATACTAGTCCTTCAAAGCTTAAATATTTCATATAGTACTGGAAGTTTTTAAAATTTTATAACAAAATTGAAAGTGCAGATTTATGTGAATGCCACTTTTTCATAGAAAAGAAAAAGAAAAAGAAAAATCCACCTTTTTCATTTTTTAGGAGAATTTTCCCACTATACAAGAAAAAGTAAGACATGTACCAATGTACGATTGTACGTATACAAAGTCTCTACTTTTTGATACGGCCAAATACTTGGATACCTCAAAAAAAAATTGATTCATTTTGCCGTTACAACCGTGTGAATTAACTTCCGTTACCGTCACCGTTACAGTTATAATAACCTTAATAATCTCGGAAAATTGTCTTAACTATCCTCCATAACCATTACCTCACGGTCGCCGTCATCTTCGCCGTCGTCATCACCATCCTCATCAAGCCACCGCTCCACCGGAGCACACTCCGCCTTATGACGGAACTTCCAATCAAGCGCTTGACACGCACGCGAGCAATAATTCACCGCACCACAAACCGAACACCTTCGAAACTCGTGCTTCCGCGTCTCCGGCCTCCCACAACTAGCATGTGAACAGAGCCTCAAACCCGAACCATTCGATCCTCCGCGAGCGGCAAACCACTCCGTCATAAACCGACTCGACGGATGCGGCTCCGGCGCCGGAACATTACATCCAAAATCGCTCAAAAGTGGACATCCAGACACCGCAACGTTTCGTAGCTGAGATTGAAGATTGGCATTAACTAACTGACGCGCGGCGGTGTCGGTTGACAAAACGCCGGCGAGTTCACGTGCGTTGGCCTGAATAAGAAACCGCCTCCCCTCGGAGATATTCTGTTTCACACCGTAACCGTCTTGTAAACAGTGTCCAAGCTCACGGAGCGCGTCGATATGGCCGAGGAAAGCGGCTCTGGCACATAAAGCAACGCCGGCACGGAGGTCCTTATCACTTTTGGTACCGCCGCTGCCGTTAAACTGTATAACCGCAAGCGAGTAAAGTGCACGCGCGTGAGAGTTCATCGCAGCTTTCGCCATAAGCGAAGCACCGCTCCCTCTGTTTTGCAAACAGTAAAACCGAATCTGCAAAAATATAAAAAAAATCAAAACCTTCCTTTCAATAAATTATTTCTTAGATCTCAAATTTTATAATGGAAATTTTAATACGAACCATTCCCAAAGTATAACAGGCTTCAACATTCCCTGCCTCAGCACACTGTTTAAGAAATCTCTGTGCCGATTCGCACCAGTTTTTCGCTCTGATGCAGAAAGTTCTTGGAGAAGCTTTTGATAACACAAGAGAATGAAGTGCTAATCTTTGGAATCTTTTACACCTGTTCCACAAAAACCAACAAATTAATCAAAATCTATTTCATAATACAAAACAACCAAACAAATCATAGAAATGAGACCGGCAACCGTACGTTGATAAAACGGTTACAAAATCGGAAGGTGAAGTGGCGGTAGAACTAAGCCTGCAGAAGATAGAAATAACAATATCATCTGGCAAAGCCTCAAAGAAATCATATTCCGAACAAGTTTTCTCCAAACATTTCTTCGGTCTCTTTCCACAAAAAATAGTTTCCTTGGAAATATGCATGTCCTTCTTTCTTTTCCCAAAGGAACACATGACTGTTTCAGGTTCTAGATAACAAGAGCCTCTTCTTGTTCTCATATTTCTCTCTTTGTTTGAGAGATAAAAGAAATAGGAAAAATAAAGAAGCAAAGGGTTATATATAAGAGGGTAATGTTGACACCAGAAAACAACAAGAGCAACGACACAGCCGAACTCACAAGCTTTTTAAAACATCTTGAATAATACTATTAAAATAATTATTATTGGAAGGAGTACTATAGAACTAGTACTTAATTACATAAACGGCCCTAAAGTTGTCGTTTATTTGGGTCAAACATTGTTGACCAAGATCCGCATAATCTTTGGTGTGAATGTTAAATAGCCTTCTCTTTTGTACTGCAAAAATGCTTTTCCCTTGTCTGCACGCATTTCATTTTGAACACTCTTTTTTATCCTTGTTCTCTCTCTATCTAAATATGCTTGAGTTTGTTTCAAAAACGGTTATAAATAAGTTCAGTTATTATTTTTTCTCAAATTGAACTTCACCCCATGTTTCAAACAACGTACGTGATTCACGGGTGCGCGTGATGCACACTCTCTATGGTATTGAAGTGGGTAGCGATTCCTGGGCACTCGTTTAAGACCGAAACTTGTTTCAGGGTCAAAACTACGATTCAACAAACTGTTGTTGTTCAGTTACACTAGTTTGTTTCACTTGCGTGTTTTTCTGTTTTTTCATACTAATTTTTATACTTGTCTTTTCTACACTATATTTATCATTCCCATCCAATTATGTAAGAAACGTGATGTAGAGAACAAATGAGTAATGACTATTTTTTTACCTATGAAGCATTGTCACGAAACTGTTCCTGACATGCTTAAAATAGAAAAACAATTGATGACATAACAATTTCCCTTACCATAAACCTTAAAATGAGTTAAACTTTACCCATCCCCACTTTTAATCATTTTTCAATATTACAAAATTCTTGGATTAAAAGTTATATATATCATATATTATGTTTATAAAAGATAATATTAATAAACATAATTTGATATATAATGAAATACATAAAAGTTAACACCTATAAATTTTATCAAATACAGTAATTTTGATATATTTCATGGTCATATCAAATGATTTTATATAAATATTAACTTTTTCATACATGATTTATATGGTGGATTTTGTATGCCACAATGTGATAATGAATTACATAATACTAAATTTAATAGGAAGACAATTTGAATGAGTTTTAGTTTTTTGTTTTTGAAAATGATTTTGTAAATAATTTTATAAATGAGATTTGAATAAAAAAATAAAAGAAAACACGTTTGATAATTTAATTTTTTAAATTGTTCTAAAGTTAAGTAATATTATAAATTTATCGTTAATGAAAAGCGTGTAATTTTTTCTTTATTTTAATTTTCAAGACTAAAAATTAAAATTAAAATATTTAAAATATATTTTAGTTTTTTAATTTTTAAAACTCTCAAATAGAGAATAATTTTTAAAAATAATTTTATAAAACTAGACTACCCAACAAATTTTATAATTTTTAAATTTTAAAAACTAAAAAACAGTTTTAAAAAATCAAATAAAAAATACCCCAAGTATATGGAAAACATTCAAAAATGTTTTAAAATCAATTTTAACATTTCTTTTTAAAGTGGAATCAAATGTAGTGTATTTTAGGTATAGATCGAATCAACCATGCATATGACCTAACTATAAGGATTTAGGTCAAATCAAATTATTTTTTAAAATATAAAAAGTTTAAATTTCTTTTATAAATATATTTAGTTAAAAAGTTAGCCCTTAGAGTGTAAATTTTTTTAAAATCTATCAAATCGGTCTATTCAAATAAATATAAATAATTTAAATATTATTATTAAATTATATTTTGTACTTAAAATTAAAATACAAAAATAAAATTAATTGTCTTGAAAAATTTAGGAAAATAAGCTAAAAACACCGGATGAACAATGTCATGAGTTGTTTTCGTAAGTTTTTTTAAGCAAATAATCTCATAAAACTTATATTAATAAACAAGTTCAAATGAATCAATGCAAACAAATTTTTAGTCTCACTAATCTTTTAGTTTATTAGTCTATTTAAACATTATTTGAATTACATATTTAAACATGTCGGAATGAAATAGGATTTTAAATAGACTAACGATAATATCTCTCAATCTCCTTAATTGTGCTCGGTAGAGATTATGATAAAACTATAAAGTTAGCATGTAGATTATAACACAAATCTTATGAGATGACTTAATTAGTCTTTTGATTTTAAGTGTAAGGACAAAATGGTACTTTCACCTATGAAGTGTATAAGCCTAAACTAAGAAAAAACTCTCATTATTCTCTTTATTTCCTCTTGTGCAAAATCTAATTTAGGTAGAACTGGGAGAGAAAGAGAGTGAGGCGAGCAACAAGGGGGAGAGGGAAGCTTAATCAATCTTGAAGTTCACTTGCATGTTTGAGATTTTCAGCTATTGAAGAAGAAAAAGCAAGTTTGAGAAGTTTGAATCCATCATCATCATCGTCCTATCTTCTTGATTCTAGGTTTTCTAAGTAAAAGGTGGGGTTCCTCTTAGGTTGAATTGGGATATATCACATTATAATTCTTGCATGTTGGGTTTAACATGTAAGTTCATGCCTTTGATGCATATTCTTCTTTATTATATTCCATGATTTGTATTTTAGTATATGTTTGTTTGTGGTTTGTCTGATATATATATGTTTATATGACTTGTTTTACATTTTGGCTAGAACTACTGAGTGTTTGACCAGGTTTAAAGGTTGATTCATGTGAAAATGTAGAAATCATGTTTCTGGGCACGACTATGGATCGTAGCACCTGCTACGTTCTAACTATAGCCAGCCTCTGGTTTTTCTATAGGAGGGGAAACTGGGTTAGGCTACGAGCTAGCGTAGCTCACCTCAGACTTATTCTTTCTTTACTGATCTTCACCCCTAGCTTGTGAATTTACTTGTGCTCTCTTTTGCTATGCTTATATGGGATGACAAGTTGCTAAGAGAATCTAAATAAAATGAAATTTATCTAGGGTAATTATTAGTATCACTTAATTAGATAATCATATGGTTATATGATGTTTTCTTGTTGACCTAAAAAGAATTGAACCATGATGTGAGGATCCCTAAGATTGATTAGGAGTACACTAATATGAATTATGAGGATATGTAGTCGTATTTCGAGTTGCTAAGTTTCGATAACCTTGGTTTTAAAAGATATCAAGTATGTACATATGATGAATGTCTTGACTCTTAGAGCATGTCGATTAATGTAGCTTGTTATTATGAGGGTAATCTAGCCAAAGGTTCTATGTCACACTGTAATACCAACCTTGGTGGAAACAATTAGTAGGGAGTCCCTGATTCTGTAAAGCTAGACTAAAAAATAAAAAGTACTAGTAGGCAGTGGATGTTTTATAAGGCTAACCGTCTCCTAGAGACGACATGGTATATAGATCGAATGTATCGACATTTACATATTGTATGAAGCTGGACTAAATTTGTTCTCTTTTATTTTTACTTACCTGATACGCGAGTGTGGTACTAGTAGAATTAGAATAACACTATAAACCTTTCAGATGAGAAGGTTTCTGCTGAGATAAAAGGCAATATCTCTTGAAGAGTTTGACAACATTGTTGTTTATGCTGATTTTCATTGTGTCTTTTGTTCTTGGTATTCTATCATGTTATATATGCATGTGTTATGTTGTAAACTTTGTGTTTATCATGTATTTTATGTCACTTGGACATTGTTGTATGTATCGGTACCAATGCATAACATTATGAATACGGTAATTCTAAACATATTATATTTGGGGTGTTACACTAACGGACTAAACAAACTTTTGAAAAGGTCAAACACAAGCCTAAAATTAAGTATATGACAGACTACAAACTAGACTTAAGCTTTGGTATTTTTGGCAGGCCAAGCTTAAACTTGACAAAGTCTAGCTTGGCCCAATTTACTCTCACCACTAACCTTAGGTTTCATTTTAGAAGATACGAATAAAACAAATTAGCTTGGAGAAAAAATAAATATTAACCAATAAAAGATTATTTGTTTGATTTAGTTCAAATTTCCTAATATTTTCTTCCAAAATAAGAACCCATCCAAATCAATAAAGAAGTTATTAATTTGGTTTACTCATGTTGATTTTTTTAAATAAAAAGTGTAAATATATTTTTTATATTTCTTTTCTTTTATCAAAAAATGATGTTTTGGTCTCCTTTTTCTTTAAATATATTCAAACATTTGTATACTTGTTCATACATTATTTAACCTTCATTTGCATGACAGTTTTGATCACTTAATTGTATGTTGTTGAATTTTTTGCGTGTCTATTTGTAGTTTTTGCACGTAACATGTATATCTTAGTGCTATACATCTGATCTTTGATGTTGTATATTCTTCTTAGCTATTTAGCTCATGTGTTCATATGGAATTATTCATTTTGTGGTTGGTTATTTGGTTTTTAGACTCATTTTAATCTATCTCTTTTTGATATTGTCAAAGAGGGAGAAGTTGTAATGTGAGTCTAGAATTACTTTATGCATTTTATGTTGGGTTTTATGTGCAATGCTTCAAGGAGAGCACAAGCATTTTTGCTTTTGGCTCAAAGTCGACTCAATTCCTAGTGAAAGTTTGTCAAACATAAAAAAGGGGAGACTGAAGTTGCATATCTCTAGGGAGAGACTGAAGTTGCATGTCCCTAATACATTCAAGAGGATAACCCTAATATAGTGATTTTTTTGCATGTCTTATCACTTTAGTTTTCATTTACTTTTTTATATTGAGTCTTCTTCATGTTTTTGAAATGATTCGTTTTTTAGCATGCATGAATCAAAAGTTATATTTTAGCTTGATCATGATGATTTTAGTCAACTGCATGAGTTATTGGAATAAGAGTCATGTATATTATTGGTTCAAGTTAGGTGGAAAGAAAAATCTCAAAGTCTTTTGAAAATTATAGAAAAATTGAGATTTTGTGTACTTGATTCAAATCATGTACGTTCCTTGACTCAAATCAAATTGAACAGAGGCAAACCAAAGATTTTCA